AAAAAAAAAAAAAAACAGACACAGTTAAGATCTTTTCTGACACTAGGCAATTTTTAATGCATGATTGGGACATAACTCAAAGTTCCTAAACCACCCATCAATTTCATCTCAAAAGAAGAATATTTTCCCACCCAATAACTAATAGTAGATAAGCAACAAGACCAAGATATTCCCATGATAAACAGAAATAATTAAAATAATGAAGAGTCCTTATCATCATTACCCTGAATATCGATAGGGATGAGAAACTCCCCACCGCCACCTGCTTTCTCAGCGGCACAGCCCTTGTCGGCGGCATCTCCTTGCAGAGGTTCTGAGCAATCTCTTTCAGTAGCACTAGTTGCGCCTTATCTGTTCCGATCGAAATAATCGCCTGCCTCATAGACTCCCGATCTGCCTCGAGCGCATGGAGCCTTGCGTAAAGCTTTTGTATCTCCAAATCTGAATCCCTGGGAGTCATTGTATACTCATCGCCAACAACCTCAGCAGAAGCCTTGTTCTCGGCCATGCCATTTGCTGGGGCCCCCTGATGAATAGAATCTATTGTGTAGACCCTATCATCCGTCTCATCCCCGGTTTCGGACCTGCTATCTGTCTTCTTCAGATTAGAGCTCAAGTCCAGATGAGAAAGCTCGGACTTCCTGAAGCTGGACCCATACCTTGGTGAGTAGTCTGGTTCGGACTCCCGGCCCGTGGCACTAAATGGTGAGCCCGAGCTATCCGTAGAGAACTTCCTGAAATGCCTGTCAGCCCGCCTCGGGGAGTGGCCCACGACCACATTCTCGAGCACATTCCTTGACTCCCGGTCGGGCTGGATGGTCCTGGGACTGTTTTTCTCCAGCTGATTAATCCGGAACTCCAAATCTTTGAGCTGGTGGCGGGAGCTCGGAGTTTCACCTGATGCGTATTTCTCGGCATTATCGGCAGCATCCTCTTCACCACCATCCATATAAGCCTGGGATCCATTGATGTTGACCTTGAGAGATGGGTAAATCTCGTAATGGGGAAACCCAGACGGGCTTTCGAGATTCTCAATCATGCTCGTGTTCCTGTGGGTCCTATCACCGTCGAGCCATTCGTTGGCCTCGTCCTCTGTGAGCCCATAACTCATCATCCTGTGTTTATACGCCTCCACTTCACATGTAAGGGACTGAACGGCCTGCTCCCGTTTGTACAGCAAATCCTCCAAGGCCAAGGTCTCTTGCTGATCGTGCGCCATTTTCTCCTCGACAAACCTCTTGAACTGCCTGGCCTCCATCTGAACCTCGGCCTTTTCTCTCTGCAGCCTCAGGATCATGGACATGGCTTCGCTTGTGGCCGATGACGAGGCATTTCTTTCCTCCTCGAGCTCGACAATAAGTTCCTGAATCGTCTGCTGCTGGCTGGCAACCGTCTCACGTAAAGCCTGGCACTCGTTCTCGATCTCTACACGGGCATTTTGGGGCACGACAAGTCCCGGGATTGTGAAGGGCTTCTCATCTTCAAATTCTTCATATTTACGTTTGACCGACCGGAGGTATGTGCCCGAAAGGGAGCGGTCCATCATGGAGCAGACACATCCGCATTCGCAGCATTTGAGGTGGCTCGGGGAAGAAGGTGAGCTGCCGGACGCCATGGACGACACTAATACACATCCACTAAAGCTTCAAGCCGTACACAGGTTGCGATCCCAAGCAATTACCAATTTTTTCAAATTTTGAGGAAATTAAACAAATCCTGGACACAATTCGGGAAAATTACAAAAACCCAAACACCTCCCAACTTCGATCTCCCTCTCCTTCGGGTTATGTGTGAGTATTTCTCCCCGTCTCTTTCCACAATCTCGGCGAGATTTATGTATATTATTCAGGTCAAAACCAGGGGCGACAATTTCTACGCAGAAAAACAAAACAAACCAAAACAAAACCGATAAATAAGAAATAGCACAAGCGAAGAACCCTCACAATTTTTCTTCCGACCAAAGTAGCTCTGATGCCGGCGTATATTTACAGTAATACGTATGTGCAGCTCGGAAGGTGAAAACGTGAACGATAAGACGCACCTGATCCTTTCTTTTTTTCCCGGGAAAATCTTCACCGGCGGCGAATCCGGCGAAATAATGTTCCCCGCGAAAAACCAGAGCTGGGTTTTCCGACCGCTGCAAATATCGATCTGGGAAAATGAAGATTATGAATGAAAAGCAAGGGAAAGGGGAAAATGTAATCGGAGGGATTTGAAAACCCTAGGGGCAATTGCTCGGTCTCTTTATTTTCGGATATTCTTATTTATGATATGATCTACTGATGATATGCTTCGTGTTTCGTGAAATCTCTGTTTTGCTGTTGGTTAAGAGAGAGAAAAAGTGGTGTCCTAATGCATTTTCAATCATACCGTGTCGTATGATAAATGTTTTATTTTCTTTTATTTATTTTCTTGTTATATATTTTATTTATTTAATTATAAATATGAATATAATAATAGTTTTAATTACATTTTTAGTTCGTGTTTTTATTTCTCTTTCACGATTTTTTTTTTTTTTTTTTTTTTTTTTTTTTTTTTTTTTTTTTTTTTTTTTTTTTTTTTTTTCGACTGGGAGGTATCCCCACGCTCACACAGTGGCTTCGCCGCAAACTGCCAACCCACACAAATGGGCCTATGGCCTAGGAGACCCACCACCACGGGGGTGGGACTAATCCTCCCAGGGAGAAACTGGACGCCTCAACCATTTCTCCACGTTCTCAGGATCGATCCCTCGACCTCCAGGATACTCGCACTCTGGCGCCTCTCCCTTCACCGTTGGACTTCACGCCCTGGAGGCTCTTTCACGAATTGAGTTTGGGAAATTTTCAAATTTGGTGACCTCCGAAATTCAAACTTCTCAAATTTAATGTTATATATCCATGTCACATTTGTAGACAATCAAATTTTAAGTCAATTAAATTGTGACAATTGTTAAATTTTATGTTAAATCAATTAAATAATTTTATATTTTATTTAAAGAATTTATACAAGATTTTATTCCTAAGTTTTATAGTTAATTTGTTGATCATTTAAAATATATATTGTTGGTCAATTAAAGAATGACAACTATATATAGTTGAAGACAAAAAATTCACGTGTTATTTTCGTGGATCATAAAATAAATGATTATTTCATTTAATAATTACTATTAAAGAGATAAATATTAAAAATTGATGTAATTATCTCTTTGGAATAATTATTAACGGGCTTGAATCTTGCTTCAATTATCCAAGAACGACTTTGGATCTTCAAGAACACTTGAATTTCGTCGAGAGAATTCTCTAGAGTTCTTGGACTTGAACATGAATTGTGTCTATGAGGCCCTATCTATAGGTGCAAAAGCGAAAATTTTGAAAGCGAAGATATCAATTTGATTGGTCCATGAAATTTGAATATTTATCTCCTTAATATTTATTTAAAAGATGTAATTACATTAATATCAATATTTTATCTCTTTAATAATAATTTTAAAAGAAATGATGATAATTACCTGAGAAAATTACATGTGGTATTCTTTAATTTGTCTTAAAAATATGCACTTGACATTCTTTAATTGACAAACAATATATATTTAAATGATCAACAAATTAACTATTAAGCTTATGAATTAAAATATGAATAAATTTCTAAATAACATAGAACACTATTTAATTGGTCTAACATCGAATCTGACAATTATCACTATTTAATTGGCTCAAAATTTATTTGTCTACACATATCAATGTAATTTTATAGTTATTGCTATATATTTATCTGACAATAGCAATTAAGTATATATTCCATTTTTCTTATCCAAATTCGTCATTTGAAATAAATTGTTTGTGAATATGTTCAACTCGTCAAAGTCAAATATCTATTTGTTCATTTACTTTTATATTGTGTTAGGTGAGCATTATAAGCCAACTTATAACTTATCTGGTTAACTTATAAACTTACTCTAATCACGTAAGTTTTGTTTGGTAAGATGAATTATATTAAAAAACTCGAGTTTAACTCATAAGCTTCCTTAGTTAGTTTTTTCAAATAAGCTCGTTTGAAATTTTTTCAGTTAGTTTATCAGCTAATTTTACAAAATATTTTATCATTTCAGTTAGATTTCCAGTCACAAGTCATAAGCTATCAGCCAGATATTAACTCAAAATAACATTTCCATTTATGTAAATAAATTTGATTTTGAAATTTGAATTTTCAAAGCTTAACATATCAAATTCCGGTATTTATGAATTTTGTTTAGTTCAATTTTTTTTTTAAAAAAAAGCATAGTATTTTAGTCTTTTATGATAACAAATTCGGTAGGTGTTCACTTAATTCAATACATGTTAAATATTGTGCAATAATTAGTCAATAATATTTTTCATATATACTTTTATATTCAAACAATGTACTTTAAATACAATATACTCCATCCATTATAAAATATAAGGTGTATAAGGAATTTGCACGAATTTTAAGAAGACATTACTTAATGAGTAAATTGGCTAAATTAACCTTATTTACTCTAATCCAACTATTATAATTATAAGGCTCCACACTTCTTTAATTTTAACACAATTACGGGAAACAAAATACCAGCCGACATCTGATGTTTACGGAAGTAACTGAAACGGTAGCTTCCGGAATAACTATGCTCCATCTTAAAAAAATTTGGCGGCATTGTTTATGAGAAAATTGCTGCAAATTAAGAATTATCCACCAAATTTTTACTTCAAATCATAGAACTTTGTCTCTAACTATGAGAAAGAAATAATGGAATCAGGAACACACCAAAGCCAAATGTGATAAGTTTTCTTTTGATCTCAATATTAGTCCTTCATCCGAGCGATTATCGTTGGACTTAACAATGATCCACCTGAAGAAGAAGATGGTACATATTCATTCGACCTAAACTTGTCGCCATGTGAAGAAGTAGATGGTCACTTGAATGAAATATTAAATCAAGAAGTTGATGGTGTTCATGACTTGGTGGAAGAGTCGAAAGAAGAAGAAGTTCATGGTTATTTCTTTGAAGGACCCGAAAATGACTACGGTGAACACTTTGAGGAAGGATTGGAGCAAGAATATTATGTTGATTATTTTGAAGATGCCGAATTCGATCAAGAAATAAACAACACATGTTCTTTATAATGTTCTCTTTCTTTTTTTCTGTCGGATAATCTGTTCTTAGAAATCAACACAATCTTTTTTTTTTTTATTCCACAAACATACGTTTACTAGCTTTTTCTTGAATTCGTAAACGTCACAGGCTTTGTATTGATGAATTTGATTGTGCCTAGTTTAAGATGATTCTTTTTTTAATATATAAACAAAACCGTGAGTAACCTTTTTTTTTTGGTTTTTTGGGTTATATTTTGTTCTTTTTTTTTTTTCATGTTCTTGAACACAGGGAATTTTGTTATCAAGAAACGACGATTTCTCACGAATAATGTACGTCGAGCGATCTACAATATGCTTCTACACAAAAGTACTGAAGGAAAATTAAAAAGACAGGTGACAAAAAAGGTTGCATCGGCCTTTTCAGTTAGCCTTCATGTCGTTCAATGAATTTGGGACTAAAAGGCTATGTTGTTGTTGTTGTTTGAGACTATATCTGTTGCAGTAAATCTGTTCTTGCGGTTTTTAAACTTTTGCCAAGTTTTGATCATGAGCAGGATTACTGTAGAAAATGAATCAGAGAATAAAGTAACTTTGATCAAGGTAGTGGAGAAATTCTTGTTTTTTTATTTTCCGTTTGAGGCTTAGTTTGTTATTGTTGAATAGTGCTGCATTTTTTTTTTTTTTTCTTGAACAAGATAGTGTTGCTCTTGATTAAATTGAAGTTTTGGCAGCCTCAAAACTTAGAAGCTCGTCTCTTCTAGTCTAGCTGGACATGGCCACGGGCCAACCCAATCCTCCGAACCGTCCCACAATCGGCTCGAAACAACCCAAAACTGGCCAAGATAAGCAGGGTTACGAACCGGCGGGAACCCCTTAAGGACCGGTTCATGGTCGTTTTTTATTCATTTTTACCCACCGGGCCTGCCCAGTCCTGGGTTTTTCGACGAGTCGTAGTTTTTTTTAAACCGGCATTTCAATAAACCGCCGGATCGGGCTGGTTACGGGCCCAACGAGCCGTGACCCAGCCCGACATTTGTCTAAGCACACACAAATTTAGACTAAGCATTGATCTCAGTAACTGAATGTTGGAGTATACTGTAAAGCAAACTTTTATGTAAGCTTTTGGATTGTATTTATTCGATTTCTCATTTGACTGAAATAAATGTTTTTCACATTGTTGCATTCTTTATGATTGCTTGTATGCTAAATGTCCAATTATCTTATATTGTAGACAATGTGGTGTGTTAGTAGTCACACAGAAAATTACATTGTCGGTCTCTTATAAGATATAAATGGTATTCACAACTGAGATAGTTATGGACATGACTATCAGTGTAGGTTGTAGTATAAACTGGATGTAGCTTGTCTTGGCTATTGGTTTATACTAGTGCGCTGTGTCGCATTGAATGGATCACAGTTCAGACGTGTTCTTCTGTTCTGACTATCATGACGAACCAAGGTCTCGCTGACTCTACTAATTCTTAACCTTGACTGTGGTACTTAGATATATGAGATATTTGT